GTTGGTCGCATACTAACGTGCATTGCGGAAGCGTCCATGAATTGTATTATGGACGTACTTCTTAAGTAACATGTACTTGTTGACACTCAGCGTAAATAATGCAAATATTACATCTACGTGTTGTGTTCTATTTTATAAAACATCCCAATAATAAATGCGTAATTTTATCACAAATGTTCGTCCAAATGAAAGCACATCCGCGCCCGAGTACGAGGTACTAAGATTCAAGGGACTGACCGACGGCGCTGGGCAGCAGGCGCAGGCGCGGGGGCGGGGCACGGGCAGGCGGCCGGCCGGCCAGCGTCCACTCGAGCGCGGCGGCCGGCGCCTCCCTGCGCCGCCAGCGCCCTCCGGCGCTCGCACTCCACGCGCAGCGCCGCGCCCTGCGCCGCGCGCACCGCGTGCCCGCGCGCCGCCACCGACAGGCGCACCCACGCGCGCGTCTCTGCGCACGCGCACGCGCGCCAACGCCTCCGCGCTGCTCATGCTGCCGCCGGCGAAGCTAGTTTAGAACGCAGCTATACACGCGAACGACGCGGTGGAGGTTACTTGCGCCTCAGGCAGCGCTGGCGCGCTTTCGACAGCAGAACAGTTTTAAACGACAGCCTTCACACTAGGTCACTCGGCAGCGCCTCTGACTTTCGACCCTCTTCGCACCGAGTCACTCAGTAGCGTTTCCGAGTGCCGCTGCTGGCGAAATTACTTTAAATGTAGGTATACACGCGAGGGACGCAGTGGAGGTTACTAGCGCCTCGGGCAGCGCTGAAGCGCTTTCGCGCCATCGACAGTAGAACAGTTTTAAATGACAGCCTTCACACTTGGTCACTCGGAAGCGTCACTGACCTTCGACGCTCTTCGCACGGAGTCACTCAGTAGCGCTTCCGAGTGCTGCCGCTGCTGGCGGAACTAGTTTAAATGCAGGTATACACGCGAGCGACGCAGCGGTTACTAGCGCCTCAGGCAGAGCTGTCGGGCTTTCGCGCTATCGCACACAGAACATTTTTAAATGACAGCCTTCACAGTAAGTCACTCGGAAGCGCCATTGACCTTAGACGTCCTTCGCACGGAGTCATTCAGTAGCGCTTCCGAGAGCCGCCGCTGCTGGCGATACTAATTTAAATCCAGGTATACACGCGAGCGACGCAGCGGTTACTAGCGCCTAAGGCAGAGCTGTCGCGTTTTCGCGCTATCGCACACAGAACAGTTTTAAATGACAGGCTTCACACTAAGTCACTTGGAAGCGCCACTGACCTTAAACTCTTCACACGAAGTCACTCGATAGCGCTTCCTAGATCCGCTGCTGCTGGCGATACTAATTTAAATGCAGGTATTCACGCGAGCGGCGCAGTGACGCTGCTGAGAGGTTATTACCCGTGCAACTTTTCTTGAACGTTGACTGGTAGAAACCACCAGTTGAGTGGGGTATTAGTAATACTGTCAGCTACTAGAGGTGTTGAAGCAGAGCCAACCATTCAAAAATCGAAATCAAACCTGCTGCTATCGTGGTCAGGTCGCCATTCTGAGCAGCTGTAGATGAGACATCACGGCGATTCGACGCATTAATGACACGATACTTTTTTTATAGCTCGCACGGATTCACAAAAATCTCGCAATTTTCTGTCTGCCGCTATTATACGTTCTCCGAACTTTCTGAGGGGTTCGACGCACATGCTGTGAAGAACCTGGAATTGCCTCAGACATTTCGGTGGTATTTATAAAAATAACACTATGACCAAGTCTCGTCTGCCAATGAAAATGGATTCATTTTCGCCAAAGAAGATATTGTGTATGAAATGTTGTGATTAGTGTTTGCTGTGAGCTATTACCTTCAAATTTATATCGTACGGGGAAAGGGGAAATTCAAGAGAATTGGCGCGGGCAAAAGTATAGCGTACTTCCGCCTCCAAGAGTGTGGATCCAATTTACACATAATTTATTTTAATACAATTTCCCCAATTTATAATAATACAATTTCGCGTTATTGACAGCACAGCAGTTTTAAATGGCAGTCTTCACAACAGACATACGGAAGTGCCATTAAGCTTAGATCCCTTTCACGCGGAGCCAATCGGCAGTGCATCCAAGAACCACTGCTTGAGTGGCCGCGCTGCTGTAGCAGTTATTGGCTCACTGACGCCTCCAGCAATGCAGACGTGCTACCGCGCCGTCGCCAGCAGAACATACTCCTAAATGACATCCTGAGGGCGAGCCAGGTACTCAATGCTGAATCGCCAACTCAAAGACATTTGTTGAAGAAACGTTTCTTCAAGGTAGCCACTAATTTTCTGGTACAAATTTCCCCGACTTTTTCCACTTTTCCAGTGCGTTTTTTTATATTTTTTCAATGATACGATCTGTAGAGTATTTCACACTATTTTAGACAAATACTGAAGCAAGGCAGTCTCCATTTTTTCTGCTCTGTGATTTCACCATGATACAGTACAAATTTCAAAAATATCAACAAATAACTATTGAGCCACTCTTATTTGGTGGACCGTTTTAAAGGAATAAAATCTAATTATAAAACAACCTCAAGATTTTCCCTGATTTGTAACGATTCTTCTACAAATTCCCTACCGTTTTCCAGAGTAAATAAATTGCTTATTTTTCCCGGTTTCCCAGAAAGTGGCTGTCCTGTTTCTTTTAAATGTCGCGGCTGTTGCCCTGCCCCTGCGCGCACTGACCCGGGGAGAGCTGTCCGCAGGGGAAGTGGTTGCAGGTGATCTCCATGAGGGCGGCGCCGTCGCACGCGTCGCCGAACACGTTGGGCCGGGGGTTGGTGCAGGTGCGGCGCCGCAGGCCGCGCCCGCCCCCGCACGTCACGCTGCACTCGGCCGCGCCCCACTCGCTCCACCCGCCGTGCACCGCCGCGCCGCCGATCTCTGCGCCCCGCCCCCACGACCACACAGCGAATCGGCATCAAAGGAACGAGTGACTGAATGAACGGATGAGAGAGTGAATGAATGAATGAGCGAATGAAAAAGTGAACGGGTGAGCGAGTAGATTAAATAAACGAGTAAGCGACTGAAAAATGATCGAGTGAGTGAATACATACATGAATGAGTGAGTGAATACATACATGAATGAGTGAGTGAATACATACATGAATGAGTGAGTGAATACATAAACAAATGAGATAATGAAAAAGTGATCGAGTGATCGAACAGAAAAATTTCAGTTTCTTCCCAATTTGGTTTGAAATTGCACATTCGCCGAAATCAAAAGCAAAGACAAAGGCAAATGCAAGGGCAAGAGGACAAGTGTAGTGTGCTCACCCTGGGGTTGGCAGTTGGCCGTCCAGGAGACGGGCGCGCGGCGCGCGGTCACGCTGAAGAAGTAGGCGAGCAAGGGGCTGCGCGGCTGCGCCTGCAGGGCGGCGTCGCCGTCCACCAGCACTTCCAGCGACCCCTCAGTCCACCTGCGCACCCATCCTCTCGTTCTCTCCTTCTCTCTTCCTCCTCCTCCTCCTCTCTTCCTCCTCTCCTCCTTCTCCCCTCCTCTCCTCCTTCTCCTCTCCTCTCCTCCTTCTCCCCTCCTCTCCTTCTTCTCCCCTCCTCTCCTTCTCCTCTTTTTTCTCTCTTCCTTTCCTCTCCCGTTCATGGGCAGGAAAGCAGCGCGAATGGTCCGCAAGCCGCCAGGGCGCCCATTCACGGACTGAGTTTCGTTTGATCATTCGGGAGTGTCAACTACTAGTCATTAGATCCGTTAGTGAAATGCAGGTTATATCTCGCGAGGTGACGTTGTTCTTCCCTGCTGGAACGTAAGATCCAAAGAACACGTCTAATTGCGGGGATTTACCCCCGTACCCAGCAGAGCACCGTCCCAGCCGGTACACCCCCTAAGCTCTCCACTGAATTCCCTACATTGGTAGTTGTGTAGTGCATGTAAATGTGTTAGTGTAACAGAAGAGGACGAGAAAAAGTAACGAAAGGAAGCGCGTGGTCGTAGCACGATTGTTAGTGTGCTGCTTCGGCAGCACACTGGCGATCAGAGACGCTCGCCGTGAGAAGTCTGCTCCGGAGGTGGTTACGTTCGACATAGCTATTTAGCTAGTGTCGAAAATCTGGCCTTGATCTCTGGTCTAAGTCGTTGCAGAGACCACGTTAATTCTGCGACTGAGCCAGCCGGTCTACATGAAGAGGTGCTCCAGTATTGAGAGTTGATACGGATCGCTGCGAGATGCTTGGCACAAGTAGCTTCCTTCGCCTCCCGGCAGCGTATCTGACTACGGCGACAGTCACTCTGTAGTTTATAGCAGCAGCGATGTATTGTGCTAGCACTAAGTAGACCAAAAACGTTCTTTTGCTTGTTATTTAAACTGTATGTTAAATGTTATGGGAATATACGCTATAAAATCCACAGTAGTGAAGTATTTTTTAAATAAATACAGTTCCAGCTAAAGCAGAAGCAATGGCCTTGTAAGCTTGCGCAATCCTGAGTTGACTACACGACAGAAGTAGGAGAATGCCGTGTCAGGTATTTCCTTTGTTTCTCACACTACCATGCTTCTCGTCTCTCTTCAAGCCAAGACCCAAGCAGCGAACTGTACCTTCTGTACAATTGGTACATGTTTGAACAAACTATATCCTGTGCTTACTAGTAATATGCTCCCTTCAGAAGTATGAATGTAATAAAATGTTATCTGTAGTATAAATTTTCAATTATAGATACTTTGCTAAACAAATCATCGTCTTGTTTTGAAAATACACATTATTGTTTTTTCAAATTGTGTGAGATTTATGATTCATTGCTCTAACATCTGAAAAGTTTGAAAATGTAGTTATTCCTCCTAGATAGCATTTTCTTAAATTATGGCAAAGTCATTTTTGTGACAATGTACTAACAAAACCAACCAGTGGAACGGCAAGTATACTTCATTTCTAACTGGCACAGCGTCCGTTATTTGATCTATATCAATCTAATGATGATAATAACAATTGTACGTTCTGATTCTCAAAAATTAAAGCATATGCTTACAATTAGGTATCTTAATTACTTACTCGACAAATATCTTTGTCCAGCGACTCTCCGCCATCACAGGGGTCTGGAAGACAGTTAAATTGACAGTTTCCTTGCCCTTTCCACCATGTCTTGAGAAAACGATTTGGTTGGGCTTATCATTGAAGGTGAGACTGTAGTACTGCCCATGATCTGTGCAAAGAAATTATACTCTCAGCACTGAGGACTAGTTTATGGCATTTGGATACATATTTTTTTTAGTGTATTAATGTAAGTATGCAAAGATTCCTATGAAATACGATCAATTAGACATATATTACAGAATAGAGTCAAGTGCAATTATGACAATTGCAGAGATAGATATTTCAAATATTGAGAATTGTCACAAGTAAACGGTAAAGCATTACTCTAACGGTAAAGCATCCACAGTTTGAGCGAAGAGATAGCCTCCATGCAGGGGAATTAATGTTATTAATGTTATGAGTTTTTCAAGGTCATAACTACAATTGAAGACTTGAATGCAAGATCCAGATAATTACTACTTTTGGAGAAAATGAGATTTTCACATACACATGAACCCCTCCTGTTCTCTATCAGCTGCTATTGACATTTTCGTCAATAAATTCTTATTACTACCGGGAAATACCGTTGAAATTTTCTTTCTACTGTTTGAGTGCAAGAAACAGATAGTAGTCGGAGTTATCCACTTCTTGCACTCAGATCTAAGCTGCTTCTGAGCAAGATGGCTGTTTGCAGCTAGAAACTCAATGATGAATACAGAGGTAAAGTAAGCCATTTGAATAATGTTTTAATAAAAAACTAGATTGTAAAATAATATATTTGTATTATATGTATAATACCACATAAAATA